GGGGGGGGGGGGGCAAGAGGGCTGTGTGAGGAGGTGGTACACCTCCACAGGTTGACCTGTCAGTAATTGATCTGTTACATTTTTCTGTAACAATTTATTCATTTAAGTAAAACTGCAATTTGTTCTACTGCATTTGTTTTTCTACATTGCTGCATGTTCATAATTTTCACACGTACATGAACAAGCCCCCAAACAAATCAAAACCACACCCATTTTGTTGGCAACATGCAGTAAGGCCTGAACACCTCCACCCCCCACCCCTCCACAAATATGATACACTGGCTATGCCCAAGAACACAATGTGTTACCTTCTTTTCCAAAGTTGAAACTTTGAGCATGAGTGTTTCAAGTTTCTGCTCAAGTTTCCTCACATCAAGTTGATGGGCACCATCACCACTGTGGATCAAAACGTTGCAGCCACTCTGATGTTCCTAGAATAAGTTAGTAATATAATACTTTCAATATCATTGCATTTGAAGTTCCAGGTTCTAGTTTTCAAAATTTCCCTGGACCCCTAGAGCGAGGTGGACCACAACCTTTGATGGTCAAAACCATGCAATTAATTTGACAAATTACTCTGTGCTAGCTTTGCCACTGAATTTTGAAGGTGTTTTATGAACTATCAAAGTACCAGAGAATTTGATGAACATTAAGGTCAAGATGCGGCAAGCGCCGGCAACTATAGCCTTGCACATGCAATTTTAAAACTTTTTCTAAATTGCATGTTAGAAATCAATCATACATAAAATCAACTGCTTCTAGAGTATGTTGACCAATTGATTTTTAAGACTTTGTATTGTGAAGCAGGGTTCGAATTTGAATTAGCCATTCCGAAGTTGATGAGTGGACTGGGGACGAGTGTTAAAAAGTACCCAAATTAAAAAATGAACCAAATCACTAAAAAGACCACCTCAAAATTAGTAAGTATACAAAATTTGAAGACATTTACATGGATACCCTTCAAATAATAAGCTTTCAAAAATTGTGAAATTACTGATTAAAAGATTGTTTTTGGGATGTGCATCCCCCAAAACAAAAATTACAGTACATTCATAGTAAATATCGTGATTTTCGAAAGCTTATTATTCAAAGGGTATTCATGTAAATGTCTCCAAACTTTGTATACTTACTAATTTTGAGGTGGTCTTTTTAGTGATTTGGTTCATTTCTTAACTTAGGCACTTTTTAACATTCGTTCCCAGTCCTCTCATCAATTTCGTAATGGCTAATTAGACAGGGTGATCGCTAGATAGTATACTTCAAAATAAGGTTTCCGTTTTTATAACGTAGAAAAAACTATCATAACGCAAAACTAAGCCCTAACCCTAATACTAACCCTCACCCTAACCCTCACCCTAACCCTAACTTATTTTAAAAATTGATATATAAAACGGAAACCTTATTTTGAAGTATACTATCTAGCAATTGCCAATTAGACAGGAAGAATCAACTCGCAAATTTCCTTCTTGAAAATTTGAAGGAAATTTCAGTTTTGAAAAGTGGAAACACTGCTTGCAAAAAACAAAATGGTGGTCGTTTCGTAGTGAATTTTGTAAATTTTACACATGTAACAACTAATAAGAATAACTTTTGTTTTATTTGAGATGGAATAAAAAAATCAGCTACCGTTGTCGATGGAGGTTTTACTATTTAGCATTATTAATTTTGCATTTTCCCATGGATTCATTTATTCTTAACATGCATTTTTTACTACATTTTCTAATTTTCTGGGAGAATAATTAGGCTGTGGCTGATGGGGGGCCCTAACTGTTGGGGGCCCTTAGTTTTTAAACTAACCCTACTGTACCCAATGAGCATTACGCCACTGCAATATACCTGTAATAGTGCACTCAGATGCCCGTGCCAACCACAGCCTTCATTACAACAATTTACTTCCAGCTGTTTGATCAACCTTCTCGCAGCATGGTCTTCAAAAATCTAGAAATTATTTGGTCATATTAAAGAGCACTGCCACTAACCAGCAGATAAAACATTGTAAAATTTCATTTAATATACAACATACCATTGCATCAGATATTTCAATTCTACAAGATGGACATCGAGGATCTGTCCTGTTGAAATATATATTTTAATTATATTTCAATTAAACAGCTGTCTTAATTAATATCAAGCAAGGGTGGGTTGACTACAAAATTTTTGTAGTTCACTATAACTACAGCTACTTCAAAAATATGTAGTCTGCTACAACTACTGCTACTTTTGAACAAAGGTAGTTCGCTATTGACTACAGCTACTGCTTAAAAAATGTAGCGAACTATTTCGCTATTTCGCTACACTATATTTTTTAGTTTTACTATATTTGGAGCATCTACTAACTCAGGCTGTAATGTAATCTATAACAAATCGACTTACGAGTAGCAACAGTAAACACAAAGCAACATTTTTGTAAGCACTACAATGTTCAGGAGTGCAAATTGACTATTGCCATGGGTATTGATTTTAAGCAAACCGTGTCTCAATATCACGCTATTCTACCAAGTTGCTAACAATTTTAAAAAGTAGCGAATAGCGATTCGCTGTTTGAAAAGTAGTCAACTACTTGGCTACTTTGAGGCAAAATGTAGTTCGCTATAACTACAACTACTGTTTTAAAAAAGTAGTCAAAAACTACTGGCTACTTGAAAATTGTAGTTCGCTACAGTAGCGAACTACAACTACTTCGCTACAACCCACCCTTGATATCAAGGTCTTTGTAATTTGGTTGAGTTTGAAAACACAGTACCTCCAAATATAAAGCCTCCAAATATAAAGCCCTGGGCTTCATTTGTAAGCATTTTTTGATGGGCTTTATATATTACATGTATGGGGGAGGGGGCCATATATACTAAGGGGCTTATATACATTTATTGTACCTGTAAACTATACCTTGAACAAAAAGAAATATAAACATACAAAAAATAACACATAATAAAACAAATTGGTCAACATATTATAAATAGTGTAATTATCGTCACTCGTCTGAGCCGTTGGAATAACAACCCATAGAAACACTCCATTTTGAAATAATATATAATTATATTAAAGATTTTATAAACTTGCGAAAGTGAAACTTACTTGAGAATATCGTCAATGCAGAGGGCACAAAATTGATGTCCACAGTCTCGCACTTGTACGGGATCTTTTAAAACTTTCAAACAAATAGCACATTCCCAAGCATGTTTCGCAGCATTCTGGTCTTTAAACCACTTCAATGGGTAGCCTGAATGACCGTTTGTTGCCATTGCAAGCAACACAAAAATTCAATCGGGAAGCGTGCAATTCCTCTGTAGAATTTCGTGCGTTTATGGCACTGAGCTGTATAAATCTATAATACATGGAGAGCGCAACTACAGATACAGAAATTGAAGCCGGAAGTCGCGCGCGGCCGCCATCTTACTGTGACCACCTTGACTTTGTGACCTTGAGGAGTGAGCTATTGTGATTTGTGATTACTGGCTCTTTCTCGACCACCCCCTTTCGCATCAGATTACGACACAATTTTTCTAATATAAATATCTCGGCGAGTATTTACCCCCCTTGTAAATAAAAGCCACCATTGAAATCCTAATAAAATAACCTTTCGAACGTACGGGGGGTCAAGTGCCGTCAGAGCATTACACAAACCGAAACAATCATATATTTACTCAGTATTTTCAACTGTTTTGTTCTGTTATCTCGCAATAGAGGAACAAATCAAGTCAAATATGGTATTTTAAGCAAAAGCACATGTTCAAGAATGTTGGGGACCTCTTTTACATTCAAATGAACTCAATCGTAAAGAAACGTGTCTATATTATTTTTGTCGACGTTTCTGAGTGCGACTGAGATGAATCATGAATACAGTCGTGACAACACCTTTCAAATGGGAATTTCTGATAGAGATCGGTGAATTATACCATAAGTTAACACATGAGAAATTGGTCATGAACTTTATTGTTTTGGAAATGGTGAATTTTAATATGGACAAGATCATAATATACTCATATCACCTCATATTTGTTTCTATCAACGCAAACAAATTATGTCGCTTGTGAGATTTGTTAAAGGAACAAATGATTCAGGATGGTAGAAAAAATAGCAGGTGCGTTGTAGTGACCTTATTTATGTTAATGGTGGGTGCTTAAAGGCACAGTTCAGCCTGTTGAACGATGGTTTTTAAGGCGCATTTCAGCCCTGTTAATTGAAAAAACTAACTAGGAAAATCAATTAAGCATAATTCAAAATCACCAATCTTAATGTTTTTAACATTTTAAAACATTCATATTGTTAAAAACATTGAGTTTACTGATTTTGAATTATGCTTAATTGATTTTCCTAGTTAGTTTTTTCAATTAACAGTAACCTGAGTATCAGGCCGTACTTTTTAGGGCACAGGCACGCCTGATCGTGGGCGAAGGGGAGAAAAGTACGGCCTGACACAAAAGTGGCATTTTGCCTGGTTGTTCAGTCCAGAATCTGGACTGGGCGCTGATTGGCCGATTAGACAAACGATTTTTAAATCTGTCATTTGATTGGCTGGTGCTAATTAGATTATACTATTGTTGTTGATATATTTTATAACGATCACAACTACAATTATAGCCGGCCCACTAAACGGCTGAATTTAAATTAAAACTGCAGTAAAATTAGAAAATAATCGCAAATTAGCGATATATGTTGCAAATGTAGCTTATATTAAATCGCCATAAGATTGCACTATCGACTGACGTATAGTTATAAAGTATACTTAATAATATATGTATATACTTTATAATTATACGTCACTGTTTGTTGATAAATACGGCAAGCGCCATGTAAAGCTCATTGTAGTCACTGAAACCTCTGCGGAGTAGAGAGCAATCGGGTGACGATTTAATATAAGCTACATTTGCAATATATTTCGCTAATTTGTGATTATTTTTGTTAATTTTATAAGTTCATTGCAGTTTTAATTTAAATTCAGCCGTTTAGTGGGCGCCTATGCTATAATTAGATTGTTGTTGTCGTTGTGTGAAATTTAAATTTCTCCTGCGACATTTTGATTGGATACTAAATATAAACTTTGCTGTGGGCGGAAAGCGATCAGGTTAAGTTTTGTGTCAGGCTCTATTTGTAAAATAGAGCCTGATACTCAGGTTAAATTAACAGGGCTGAAATGTGCCTTAAAAACCATCGCTCAACAGGCTGAACTGTGCCTTTAAACGCAATGCCTTGTGAGAATATATACCATCCCATCCTTGCTTGTGTAATATGTTCCTTATTAAAAGTCATAGTCATGATTATCACTCTTCTGAGAAGACCCCTCAATGGTGTTTTATTCCAAAGAAGCAGATTAAAATTAATAAATTTGAAAGAAATTGAAAGTTGTAAAATAATGGTATCTTATTTCTGTGCTTTTTAGATCCTATAGAGACAGTATAAAGTGAAGATGGAACAATGCTGCAAACAGTTACTTTCAGTTGCATGTCTATATATGCATTATATTGCATTGTGTAAAAACAATTTAATTGTAAAGGGTCTCTAGTATTATAGGATCTGTGTGAAATTCCAGTAGTTTGTTGCCAAATACTCAGTGTATTTTGTCAAATAAAGTTTAACTGCCTCTTATGAGGTAAAAATGGTTGTAACAAAAATGCAGGTTGAAATCAAGCCTTCAAAAGCATTTAAACCCACATTAATATTTGCTCTATCTAGTGCCAGATGATTTTACTCATTAGTTAATTACTGTAATACTGCAAGTGAACTGTTTAACAGAACTCATCTATCTGTATACATGGTCATTACTCCACTGTTGTCACTGCTTTGTTTTTAGGAGCCGACCATTTAACTTTTGAGGGGGGGGGGGTGATTTTGAAAAAAAATTTCCTGCAAGGCTATTCTGAACAAAAAAATACCTGCACTAACAAACTGAGGGAAAAAATATCCTACCCCATATTTATTTGGTGGGGAAAAAATGTTGCAAAACACCATGGTTGCAGAGATCGATTTGACCAGTCACAGAAGATCAGCTGGTTTGATTTTCAGGGACTAGTGTAAAGTGAATTTCTTGTTGGAAAACTCCTCAAAGTGAGCTTCAAGAAATCCAAAATTTTCTGGGGGGCATGCCCCCAGAAGAACCCTCTAGAGGCTCCCACCTTTGATGGTCGACTTGGTTGTCTCAGAATCCTAGGTATGGCCTGATCTGCTGCCCTATGGTGCATACTTATTAGTTAAACTATGCATACATATGCTGCAGGTAGCTGCAGCAACACATACTGGAACGATGACTCATTTGCATACATACGAGTGCGTATAAATGTAACCTGATGATGGAGTAAACTCCGAAACGTTGTTACAATTTATTAAATTTGTTATAAAAAAGCCTTCTGGTCGTTACTAAAAAGAAAATTATTACATTTTAATGAGGCTTAGAGAAAGTTCGCTTCTAATCACATTGAAGACTATTTCTTGCATAAACCAGGGTGCGATAATTCAATATTTTTAGCCGTACCTGACTAGTACTCCGACAACCTTTGCCGAGTACCTGATCTGGTACAAACTTAAGAGTCAAGACGTACCTAAGACTACTTCCGAGTCATGCGTTTTTATACCTACGTATAGTTTACTGGTCCAAAAGCAAAAAATGTATGGGCAATTTTGTACAAATGAATCTTTAATTATGGTATTTGTACAACGTAATATAACAGTTTTCAAAGCGTCCACGTTGTGACTCGAATGTGGATTTACCGAGGGTGCTAACAGTCTGACAACAGCTACATACAGTGTAGTTTTCCTCATTGGGTCTAAATAAAACCTGTGGTTCCGGTTTCATATCGCGAAAAAATTAGGGTAGGTAGGTCGGAAATAAAAAATTTTTAAAATATTTTTTTCATGGTTTTGGCGGTTTTTTGCTGGGTGATTTTCAGTAGAGTCCCGACATCAATACTATTGTGACAACAGACGCCATTTTGGCACACTGTGCGAGCAGCCCGCAACCACCCGGAGAAAATAGGGTCGTACGGTCAATGCTGTTGAAAAAATAATAGGGTGGGCAGAAAAAAATAGGGTCTGTCGGGAAACCGGAACCACAGGTATTTTTTTAGGCCTTGGTATAGCATTGACAATTAAGCCCAGGTCACCCCACACAACGATAACGATACGATAACTTGTAAACACGCGATGATTGGTCAATAAAATTATGTTGGTGTCCACACTACAACGAAATCGATAAAATTATTGGCGTTTGACGATAACGATTTTAAAATCGCTCACCGGAGCGATTTTTTTTCAGTCGGACGATGACGATAAATTTTTTGATCAAGCGCAAAGATAACGTTACTTTTGGCTTTTTTCATCCCAAAATATGTCGGATGCGTGGAATTTTACACGTACAGCTAAAGTTCTTCACGGTTTTGAATACTTTGGCAGGTTTGCTAGTTATTGCTAGAAGGAAAATGTAAGTACGCGAATAGCAAATTTCCGCGTACCTACGTGGTACTTGCCTAAAAACAAAGAAGTACCAGACCATAAATTTGGCGTACCTCCGGTACGTTGGTACGCAAATTATCGCACTCTGAGTCTGTTCCTGCTATCCCTACTCTTTGAAATGTTCTCATCCCAGATATCTTTGGAAGAATATCCTCCTTGGTTACTCTTTCCTTGACCTCTTTAAAAACGTGGCGGTTTCTCTGGCTGTTTCCGTGGGCAACGGGTTATCTGTGAACCCCCTCTTCCCCTTCCGCGAGAATTATAGGACCCTCTTGATCAACTACTCAAATAATAGTGATAGTAATACGATCGAGTTGGCCTCTTGTCATCTCTTCGTCCGTCATCTTGCTTATCAAACACTTCTTCGGAATCCGACTCGTCAAAATCAACTGACGAAAGAGCACTGTGGTAATCTTCGGAATCATTTTCATCATCAATCTTTGATGCTGCACCAGCTTTTCCTACGGGTTTTCCACTATTTATCACACGTCCACGACCACGACCACGCATCCCGCGTGTTCCACCATGGCTACAACGTCTTGAAGACGCATCACCGCGACGAGTGTCGTTGTACCGTCGGCGATCTACTCCAAGGCTTAATGTACCTACAGTAAATCTGTCACGACGATCATTGCCCTCGCGTGGCTCCGTGCAATCTCGACGATCCATACGCTCACGTTGATCCGTACGATTACGTTCATTTCTATTACGTTGGTCGGGCTTGTCTTGGTCTCGTTGGTCGCGCTGGTCTTTCCGATCGCGGGAATATGAATTATTACGCCGATCAGTATGATCCTGTGTCCTATCAGATTGCCGGGTCGCATCACGATTTTCTCTTTGCACACCCTTTCGTTTTTCTGCTCTAGAGTTTATTTCACTGTCCCAAATTTCGGCACTTGATTTGACAGGAGCTTTGCGTTCGTCATTTCTTTTTGGTTGTTCACGACGCGTCTCATCACGTGGACGGGGTCGTCTATCATCCTGTCTGCGACGACA